GACACTAATGTATAAGAGCAAAAAATCTGATCAGTATAAGCCTATTAGTCTATCTAATGTTCTATACAAATTAATAGTTAAGGTGCTGAAACCCCCTATGCCAAAAATTATTAGTCAAAATTAAGATGGGCAGCCATAAAACTAGACATGACAAAAGCCTTTAATAGAATGGATTGAAGGTTTCTAACTGAAGTAATGAGAAAACTGGGGTTTCCAGTTTCCAGATGTTTGGTGCAATTTCATCCACCAATGTATTTCTTCTTTATTAATTAAAATCAATGGCAGCCCAGGCGCTCTCTCCTTCACCAAACAGGTCCCCCACCCTCTTCCCCATTTCTTTTTATCATTGGCATGCAGGTCCTCTCGAAAGCAGAATCCCAGGGTATCTTGAAAGGTTTTTGTATTACAAGGGATGCAACGCCTATCACCCATCTTTTATTCGCAAATGATTGCCTCATTTTCACACCCTCCAAAGCCTCAAGAAGATTCTCAAGACCTTTGAAGAACTTTTGGGGCACAAACTCCTCTACAACAGATGTCTCTTCCTATATATCCTCTCATACTCTCAATATATATGCATTGCAAAAGGACAATGTTGCATGGCAGTCTCCCCCTGCGAAGCTGAGCTCTGGGCAATCAGAGGATGCTGATCTCAAAGCAAACACCAGTTGGAACCATCAACAGCTGATAGAGCACATCAGATATTTACTTACTCTTTTTGATAATATTTTGTTAGTCCATGCCTACAGAATTGAATCATGTATGTATTAAGGTTCTAACTTGTAAAGCTGCCCTCAACAAGGAATTTCCACCGACACCTTTCTGTCTTGAGTTGATGCCAGCTGTGAATGCAGTCGATGTGATGAATGAATGAAAAAGATATGGGTCGATGTTAACATTGTTGTGGATTTGATTGACGAAACACACCAGTAAAGAAGGAGCTCAAGATCTACATGATTCAACAAGATGTTAGCAGCGCAACACAAAATTTATTAACATGGGAGTAGGTTATACCAGATCGCCATTGGTTCCTCATCTCCCCCCATCCAGAAAATATGTTGGCCTTGGCCCTTACGCTTCATACTTCATACAAATATTAAGTTGACTTTTGGACCATCATATCAATGGACCTACTTTTGGTTTCGAGTTTTGGCCGGACCCAGGCACATGTTCCCCGTCTCCACTCTACGAACAACTGTTTAATGGAATTTAATCGGTAAATTTCATATTAATATCATCTAGTTTGGGATCGTATTCAAACTTTAAAATGTGCTATTTCAGTATTTGGATTTTCAAAAATTACCATTTTAGTCTAACATCATTAAGATATTATAATAGATACTAAAATTATGGGAAATTCTCAATTAGTACCCTGTATTTTGGGTCTATTACTATTTTAGTCTCCAAACTTTCCAAACATGTCAATCTAGTACCTGTCGTTAATATTAGCTGTTAAGTGGTATGTGAAAAGACATAAATGCCTTTTAAAAATTATTTAATTTTCTCTATCAACCACCCAAATGCTTAAATCTGATAATGGAGGATGCCCGAAGAACCATGAACGGGGATTATACTCGTGGGATTAATTTTCTTTATCGTCTCTGCTTTGCTACTATTATACTCGTGACACTGAGATGATGAGAAGATTAATCCCATCCTCTTGATTTCAAGAATTTTGATGAAAAATGATGCAAAATTGATATTTTTATATCAATTAAACAAACACCCATGAGAGGAAAGAGAGACAAAATCAAGTAACAAACAGGAAAACCCATTATCATCAGTTTCCAATTTCTGCACATTGGAGATCTTTAGGATTAATTGGTTTCATTTACCAAATGCAAAACACCAGTACGTCCCACAGGAATTCTCTCCTCTTCCGTTCTTTCCACCAATTACTATTACTCCAAAATCAGCAAAGTAGCCCAACTGCTCACCTTCTGCAAATCGAACAAGGATACTTACTTCTTCATGGGCAACTACACCATTCCCTTTGAACGAAAGAATAAAAAACTGCCTCCTTTTGATTCTCAATTATTTGTAGAACGAAATGCCTAATGCAGAGAAGAAGGTCCCAACCTTAGGCTAATTTACCGCCACTTAGACATGATTAGTGAACAAGTAAAGTAGTAAAAACCCAGATTCTTCTAGCACAAAAGAAGACTAGTAATAAATGAACTCAACGGTTCAAACTCAACTCCACTCCATAATACGGGGAAAAAGAGGAAGATTCAATCCTTATATGCTCAAAATCCAATTCCCCAACGCCGTCCGTTTCAATAGTTAAAGCCCTAAAACCTCACCTTGATCAAATCCACAGAAATGCCCTGAAAAAATCAAAGAACCAATATCACCCAAATCAAACTAAAGCACTTCCATTTAAGTAGATAAGTAACCCATAAAAGAGAAGTTTAAAAAAAAAAAACAAAATGCAGGTTTTACTTCAAAGAAAGAAGTAAAACCAATAAAAAAGAGAAAATACGATAGAAGATGCAGTAAATTGGAACAAAAAGAGAGAAAACAACAGGCCTGACCTGAGGTGTTTTGCAACTCTATTTCATCTTCTTGAGGAAGAAGATGATGAACAGTGTTTTATTTTGAAGGGTGATTTTAACATTTTCAAAAGTCTTAAGTCATAATGATGTCATGTGATACATATAACTGATGGTCCTTTCGCGCATACTGGATTGAACATTTTAAAAGTTCGAATACTAAATTACCACGTTTTAAAGATCGATAACTAAATTAACATTAGGCAGAATTTTCCCTAAAATTGACCTTTGCTGTCATAAATAATCAAATGCATTTATATAACCTAAAACTTTCATATGTTGTCGGATGAGGAGCACAAAATACCCTCATACTTGTAGATGGCCAATGATTTGGTCTCTTTCATATGTTGCCTATATCGAGCGATTCATTCCATTTGTCCAAGATTATTAAGTGTGGGATCAAGGGATTCTTGATTATGACTCTGAGGGATGATTTAAGATGGTATCAGGGCATTTTCGAGATGAGGTGAACTGGTGGTGGTCTGGTGAGTTTGGGATTCTATTCACCGTTATTCTGATTTAATCTCAAGAAAGAAGATAATGAACTGTCTTATTATGAAGTGTAATTATGACTCACAAAATAACTCACATATAACTGTTATTCTGATTCTCGTGCGAGTAATTATGATTCTGTTCGAGTAATTATGAAAGTTTTATATTGCATGTGACATCTCGTGCGTCAAATAACTCACAAAATGCTAATGCTAGGGCTTAAAATAACAGTTTTTAGTAGTTTAAATACTAGAATGACATATTTTAAAGTTCAGATAGAGGTATTAAAATGAAATTATCCCAAAATATATGGTACTAATCTACAAATTACGTAAAATTCGTCAACCTTTGTTTTGATGATCAAATGTATCAGTATTCTCTTCCTTTTTATTACTTATACACCAGAAAATAAATCCAAACGATGACAGAGTATCAACCCCCTCCCACCAGTAATTAGTCAGAGTGGGGGGGTCCAGATCCACTCTGACTAAGTCCTGGTGGGTGGGGGTGTCCAGATCCAGTTGTCAAGCCCAAGAGATTGCATTATTTTAAGAGCAATCGCAGTCAGTCACGTTCTTAGTTCTAATTACATTCAGGACACAACTTGTGGGTTGTAGGCCCAACCAACCTTCGTTGTCCCTTAGCCCAATCAAAAGGCAACCTGGATTTCTACATTATTATTACTATTGTTTGTGGGTCCCACTCCAAGATGCCCTTCCCGGCTTCCCCTCCGGCCTCCACCCCATGATTTTCAAATAAAAGTTCATGAAGAGAAGAGTTAAAAGGACCAAATGTGTTATGACTCTTTCGGAAAAAAAAATAATAGGTAATTTTAATTTTAAAGGCTGCCACTATTCCATCTGTTTTTATTAGTGTAGAATCAAATCTGATTAGATTAGTGCAAATGGTTCAAAACAATACATTAAAGTTATATTTGGTTTGAAGGAAAAGGTAGGAAAATCTATATAAACCTTTCCCTTCTTTGTAAGGTTTTCCTACCTTTTCCTACTTTTTCCTTCAAATCAAATACAGTCTAAAAAAAACCGGGCTAGAAAGTAGAAGCACCAAATCAGAAGTAAATAAGTCAGTTGATGATGATGGTGAATCTGGTAACAGAGAACATACTGAGATGTTTGTTTCTGATTTTCTGAATGGTGTTTTTGGCCTGGTTTCCTCAGGTTAGCAGCAGATCACTTGGTACCACACCATTGAAATTTTATCAACGCACTTTGTAGCATGTGACCATCACACTATCCACATGATTATCATACCATCGGTATAGTGTTATCCAAGATTTAAAAAACCGGACCAGACATGAAACTGTTTACGGGCCAGTTCCCTAGTCAAACAGTCCAACTGTTTGGTCCATTCTGATTTAAAAAATAATTAAAATAAAAAGTCAAAAACCATTGTTTAAGTCGATGGATTGATTGTTTGACCGCCCGGGTCAACGAATTGCTGATTGATTCTAAGTCAATCGGTCCAACCATCCAGTCCAGTCCGGTTTTCAAAACCATGATGTTATCAGACTTTTTCTTTGTTTTTTTATGTGTTATAGAAAATGTGAAATTTGAACCTCTCTTTTATTATGATGGAATGGATGAGAGGAAATCTGGAAAATGGACCGTGGAAACTCGGCTCATCTTCGACTACAGCAGAGTCCCTCCCTCAGGCCTCAGGTCAAAACTCAGAAGCCTTAAAAAACAGAAATCCTTGGCAGGTGCCCATCTCACGGTGAGCTTCTAAAGTTCTAATTCCCAATGACAGAACAAAACAGTATATCATTTTCCCAGTGTAGACTTTGACATTTTTTTTACCATTCTATTATTATAATTGGCAATTCAACAAATAAAACAAAGAAAAAAGTTGGCTTTGAGTTGTATCCTTGCGTGCGTGATGAACAGTCTCTTGCAGACAGACTCTGTCATTGTATATAAATCATTTATTTTCAGTGATCCAACCGATAAGTGATTACCCCCCGGTCCTCCCTTCTCTCTCGCGCTCTCGCTCTCTCACCCAAAGTAAGGCTTCTCCCTCTTCTCAGGAGGCCAGAATGGAAATAAGGGTATCTCCACTGGGCATTCTTCTAGGCATTGCTTCTCTCATGGCGTCCTGTTTTACATCGGAAGCAGTTGGGTCGTTCTCGTTTCAAGATAACTTCGATATAATGTGGTCTGAGGACCATTTCAGTACCTCCCAAGATGGACAGATCTGGTATCTCTCTCTCGACAAAGATACAGGTACAGAAAAACCACAGAGTTCAAGAAAATAGAAACATGTCTTTCTTCGTTCTCCAACCAGTTATTTACAATCTCCATTGAAATCTTCATTGATTGAACGGTTTTTTTTTTCTTTTTTCTAATTGGGTTTCATGATTTAAACCCAATCATTCTTCCCATTCTTTGAAGTCTGATTGTGTTCGACCATGAGGAGAATAGGTTGCGGGTTCCAGACGAAGCAGAAATACAGATTTGGGTGGTTCAGCATGAAGCTCAAGTTGGTAGGAGGCGACTCTGCCGGTGTTGTCACGGCATATTACGTAAGTCATACAGTATAGAGATTACTTCTTCAAAGTTGTTCTGATAGCTTAATCTCTAAAGCTTCACTTTTTCATTTGCAATGAATTGAACTATTAAAGGAGAGACTTGATTTGATGGATCAATGTATGTTTTTGTCTTACCTTTAACAGATGTGTTCGGATCCAGGAGCTGGGCCTGAGAGGGATGAACTAGATTTCGAGTTCCTGGGAAACAGAACAGGGCAGCCCTACACAATACAGACTAACGTTTACAAGAACGGGGTTGGAGGGCGTGAGATGAGACACATGCTCTGGTTTGACCCCACCGAGGACTTCCACACCTACTCCGTTCTCTGGAACAACCATCAAATTATGTAAGTACTTCAATCTTTTCTTTTTTAACTAAACAATTCGTTCAAGTCTACATAGCTAGACTACAGTACTGCAGATTAGTAAAATATGTAAGCATTGCCAGGCATGATCTGTAGAATTTGGTTAATGGGATTTAACCAAACAGTTTTCTTCAAAACTCTAAGATCGATTAGTAATATTCTAAACACTGTGGCTAACTGATCAGATGTTATTTTGATTTGCTTTAACAGATTCTTCGTGGACAGAGTGCCCATAAGGGTGTATAAGAACACAGAGAAATCAAACAATTTTTTCCCCAATGAGAAGCCCATGTGGATCTTCTCAAGTATATGGAATGCAGACGATTGGGCAACAAGGGGTGGGCTTGAGAAGACAGATTGGAAGAAAGCCCCCTTTGTCTCCTCCTACAAGGACTTCAGTGTCGATGGTTGCCAGTGGGAAGATCCTTACCCTGCTTGTGTTTCTACCACGACCCAGAATTGGTGGGATCAATACGAAGCTTGGCACCTCTCAGATTCTCAGAAGGAGGACTATGCTTGGGTTCAGAGGAATCTGGTTATCTATGATTATTGCAAGGACACTCAGAGGTACCTTGAGCAACCATGGGAGTGCTCCATAAGCCCCTGGGATTGATGACACTCAGAGATAAATAACACATAGATTCTTTATTAGTTTTTCCTTTTTCAATTTTTCTTTCAGTTATTCATATTCATAAATAGTTAAGGTATTTTTGGGAGGTTCTTAGTACTGATTTTTTTTATGGATAGATAGTAATTATTATTTGTAACTCTCCAAATGGTATATATTTAAATAATAAAAAGAGGCCAAGTTTGAAATTTGGAGTTTCTCTACCTTACCCACCGTGTGATTTAACTTTTAAACCATGTTTATGCAACCCCACTCAACTGAGTCTTAATCCCAACTACTTGGGGTCAATCACTGCTGTGTTTGGTTTGACAGAAAATAAGAGAAGCAGAAAGTTGATGGAAAGTTCTAAAGTAATTTCACAAATTCTGTTAAGAACTTTCCCTCAACTTTCTGTTTCTCTCTTATTTTCTACCTGATCGAACATATCCTATAGGAATCCAGTCCATTTATAGTGTGGTGCCAAGAGCCATTTTTTCTGATAAATTACTTCTTAGATACATTTCTTACCACTTAGCTTTGGTTTTCCCCTGTTCTTTTTTGTAAAGCTTCTATTTGCACTAGTCATTAGTCAGTCCTCTGTCGAAGAAACCTTTATTTTTTGGAGAATGACCGATAACCCCAGGGTCAGAATTTGTAGGCTCAAAGTACATTAAGGGTAGGTGCTAGCTTGGAATTGATGCCAATTTACAGGTGGGTATGGGTGCATAGAATGTGGTTTTTGGACATTCTGAATGTTTATAGCTTTGAAACAGAATTTGTAGGCTCAAAGTACATTAAGGGTAGGTGCTAGCTTGGAATTGATGCCAATTTACAGGTGGGTATGGGTGCATAGAATGTGGTTTTTGGACATTCTGAATGTTTATAGCTTTGAAATGGGAATTAGAAATCTGCATTACACCTGTCCATACTTTTCCGTTATTTTTTCGGATATCTGATAAAGCATAGACAGCAGACAGCAGGGTAGCTTGTCCATTCATCATTGGTAACTGCAAACATATCAAGTGAAGACAACACTCAAAAAAGTTGATAGAAAGTTGGCATTTATTTGCAGTACAATTAGCGGGCATGTTGGCCCCCACACCACCTCAGCGTAACAATCAGTAAACGCCTGGGCGTTTGTGGAAGCTTCAAAAAATAACTTCTACAAACGGCTGGCATGCACATAAACCAAAGTTCACTTTTTACATTTTCGATGTATGCAAAAGAGCAAGATAGAGAAAATGCTGAGATGGTGCCTATGTGGCAACACCAATAAACGTTTACCGAATAAACGTTTACCTAATAAATGTAAACGGTACCAAACATCACCTTAGTAGTTTTTTTGTTGAACTAAATGGTTGCAATGTTTCATATTAGCCATTGGATCCAATAGAGTTCCAGAAATAAGCTAATATTGGGAAAGTTCAATTAATACTAGAGAAAATAATAATAATAATAATAATAATAATAATAATAATAATAATAATAGTAACATAAAAGAGAGAATCAAGAGTTTGAGTGATACATCACCAAGTAAGTATATCTAGGGCTGCAAGTCAGGCTGGGTTAGGTCGGGTTGAGGCCAACCCTAGCCCAACCCTAAGTTCTAAACCCCTAATTCAATCTGACCTACCTAACCCTAACCCTAACCCTAACTAAATTTCTTCACCCCTAACTCAACCCAACCTTCTTCCCATCCCTTATAAATTCATAGAATTTCTTAATCTTAGATCTTATTTCAACTTTCACTACATATATTAATCCTATGTTTTATTAGTATTTGTTTGTTGGTGTTTTTATTTGTTCTTTAACTATAAAATTCAGAAAAAAAAATGTTTGAAATGACTATAGTTTATTGTGAGTTATGACTTATAATAGATATTTTATTGGCAACAAGTTATGGGTGGAAAACATCAGAGAGGAGATAAAGAATAAAATATTCAAAAACATAAAATATGTTATTAAGGTTTTAGTATTTCTAATTAGGATTAAGTGAAGTGATTATCTTAAAAGAAATAAATGATAGCATGTGCTATAGAGTCAGGTCCAGGTTGGGTCAGGTTGCCCGAGGGGTCAACCCTAACCCAATCCAAAGTAAAGTCGGGTTCATAAATTTCAACACTAACCCAACCCAAAGAAAGTTGGATTCATAAATTTCAACCCGAACCCTAACCCGAGCATCAACTTGACCCAACTCAGGTTGGGTTCAGCCCAACCCAGCCCAAGTAATCTTTTTTTTTTGTGAACATTAAGGCTCAATTTGAAAAAAGTACAAATGCAAATATATACAATACAAATACATACAAAATAATACAAAATATAAAATTTTATACTATACATATTTGCTTTTATACTCCTTCCAAACTTAGCCGAAGGAAGCAATCTGAATCAACTAATTAAATGGGATTGGTAATCTACAACTGCAATGGAGCTAACATGAAACATTAGCATCCAAATTTTATGCATATATATAATATGGGGAGTGGTTTCATTTAATCAGTTATATAATGTAAAATGAACACACATGCAAATATAGACATAAGAATTTCTGGCCTCTTCAACGTGTAAATCAAAGTCGCATTTGATTGGAATTCTTGGTTACACAAGGGTAGAAATCTTAAATTTTTGTAAAGAAGGATTAGAAGGTTCTTTAGTAAATAATAGAAGTGAACTAAAATTTTCAAAGGATTGCTAACAATTAGCAATTTTAAACTTTTTTTAGATAAAGAATTCTCTACGCTTCAAATTTGGAAAGAGAAGGCTGAATCATTTTGTAATGGTATAGAACAAGCTTACATGTGCAGATCATCCATAAATGGATGTAATCAATTTGAATGGGTGTCAAGGATGGGTTTGAGAGTTCAAGGGTTATAGTCTGAGTAAAGGAAGAGATAAGGTGCGGGGTTAAACCACCCCAATCACCACCAGAAGAATCCTATAACCAGAAATTAATACTTGGAGGCCACTGCCCACTTCATGTGCAATCTCTGATTTCATGGTTTCATGGCCCATGTTTGCTTAAGGCAATTGTAGCTTGATAGGTTGGCATTGGGTCATTGTATATATTTGGCATGATGTTGCACTTGCAGTACCGTTTTCAGAAAACGGTGTTATTGATGTGTGGTTTGGAGTACCATGCCTTTTTTTTTTTGTTTGGAATCATTGATGATTTGATGTTAGGTAAGACGTTTTTTGGAGTAACAGCAACATTTTCTGTTTGGTACCAATGTTCTAGTAACGTTTTCCATTGCCACATCACTGCTCTTGAAGCACTATTATGAGCTACAGCTCCGGGAAACGCCCAATTTAACGTTACTATAAGCCATGCCTTCCCAATTTCTAAAACGTAACTTGAAGCACTATTATTTTTATGAAAAAACGATTCAAAAAAGGTGACTGTTTTTTTCTACATAACACTGATGTGACAGACCTCCATTGACACAATTTATGTTTTTTTATACATAACACTGATGTGACAGCACCATTTTTTTCTACGTAACACCATCTTTTTCTGCAGTACCGTTTCTTTCTACGAGCAACAGCAACGGTTTCAAACAGACGCATTGTATATCGTCTGTATGGATGTCATTACTCATGTTACAGATAGACCTCCATTGACACAATTAATAATCAATTTGGACTCTCCTTCTACCAAGAAATTATTGAATCCCAATAGCAGATTATGTACTCTTGATTTTATAAATTTGCAATAGTTTAGGCTGACACAACCCTATTTATTTATCTGGGCTCTAATTAATGATGTATAAACTGTGAAAAGAGTAATCAAACCGTTTACCTGGGAGTAATGTTGAATGGTAGGATTTTTTAGGGGGTAATATTGGAAAATGATATTGTAGCATAATTGCATATTGCAGTAAGCTATAACCAACAGCTCTCACTTGGGAGGGCTGAAGCACAGCAGCTTCCGGCATTCTGAGGTTGGTCTCACACAAATAGCCTATAAGTTATATTTGGTGAAAAATCTGGAGAGCCTGATTATTTTGAAGAGCAGTCCACTTTCAGCCTTTTTGAGTAGTTTGAATAGCTTTTCCTAGTGTTTCAAAGCAGCTGAACCAGCTTATTCCGCCCAAGCTTGGGCTGTTGTAGGTGGTGGCTTGTCCGGTAAGTAGCCAATCAAGATAAGTCACTATTGGCTAGGGCTCCAAATCAGGTTGCCTGATTTGAAAAACAGAAAAAAAAAAAAAAGAAAAATCAATTACATTGGTTTGGGTTAAGGTTAAAGCTAAACTAAAAATTTAATAAATTCCCAACCAACCTTATACAAGTTGCACTCTAATTATGAACGAGAAGTTTTTTTGGGTAAATTACAGGCATCCATCCTGTATTTATGGGGTAGTGACACTTAGGCCCCCAAACTCTGTTTTGTAACAAAGACCCTTCTTCTTAACTTTCGAATTCCAGCACTTTGCCCCCACCATTAGCATTCCATTGGTTAAGTTTGTGGAATATTCCATTAATCACTTCTAAAACCCTAATGCTCAGTTTGGATGGAGTACAAATACAAATTTGTAGAGTGTAAAACCTTATACTTTGTATTATTTTGTATGTACATATTTGCATTTGTACTCCTAAACTGAGCCTAAACTTTCCTTGTGTTATTTTATTAGACCATTTTACTGTATTAACTTAAGGGGTGTTTGGTATAGTGGCATTGCATTGTTGTTGCATTTTTTGTTAATCAATACAAATTTGTGAGAAATATGTGTTGCCACATCATATATGAGTGTCATTTCAATTAGAAAAATACATGTGTGTGAGAAACATCAAATTTGACATTTTAGGTAAAAAATAGCATTTTGTATTTGATCAACGCAAAATATTTTCAAAACATTTCAAGTAGAAAAATCTATTTCCCACAAATTTGTATTGATCGACCCAAAACAAAATAGCAACACAACACCATTGTACCAAACACCTCCAACTCAACGGTATTGTTTTTACAGACATGGCAGTTGTATTTGTTTTAGAAAACTAGGTCATTCACATTGTCAAACACCCCCTTAGTTTTTCTAAATTCCTAACTCTTACATGCTTCTTTCAACTTTCTTTCAATGAAGTTCATCTTGAGAATGCCTTGAGAATATTTTATGCTTTAAAACGATCATTTTCTTCATTTTGATATTGTTATCAATTCATAAAACCTTGAATGGGCAGTTAA